TAGGGCGAGAGTATGGGTGCGGGTTGGGAATGAAGAGACGTCATACACGCACAGGCAGTCACACCCACCCACACATAAACTCCCATACCCACACTCTCACTCACATTCACACCCTAAATTTCTCTCTTCTATAGTTTAAATAGTTCGATGGCTTTTTCTCCAAAGTCTTGCACGAAAGTTTCGAAAAGTTGCCCACACTTTTCTGCTATGACATAAAAAAAAAGTAAAATATTCTCAGAAGTTCTAATCGTCATTGTCATATCGAATTGTGGTGGTAAAAGATCATCGGACAGATAGGATGATGATGAACGGTTCTTTTCCACGTATTTTTTGCCATTAAAACGAACATAGATCTAAGTAGATTTATAATTGGCTGGGCATTTCATACACATGAAAATCATTTATTACTGTTTTGAGATAATTTCTAACAGCTTCTAACAATTGAGAGTCGACTTCACGCTTCCAATTCTTTGTCTCTTTATATTTTCGACCGAATTCATTGACTTCTGAATGTGTTCCTCGTCCAGGAATAAATTTGTATGAATTCAGTTCAGTTTTTTTTGCTCTCAACAAAGTCTGTTTCACTTTGTTAAGAGCAAGTTCGATCGATTGATAACCATGTAAATCCACATCTTTGATGTGAGAATCAATGATCCATTGTGGTCGGCAGCCCTTTGCCATTCTTTCGTTGAAAGTCTAAATAACAACAAGACTTCATCGTTATGTTTTTCAAAAAGAGATAAAATGACTTGTCCATCGATAAAAATTCTGCTTCTTATTCAACGACAAACAAGTGAAAATAGAAGGAGTATGATCAGAATAAAAGCATGTCGAAAAGCGAATGCAATACAATCTTCACCTATGTGCACGATTTCGCTTTATTTGTCTTTCTTTCGTGGAAGAAAAAACGCGAAATCAAATGCATTCTGTTCAAGTAACAGACTGAGACAACAATACATTATTAGATTAAGTTCTCTTTTTGAGTTTTTCATATATAAACTATACCCTAGAAGACAAAGAAGAAATGCAAAAACGAATCGAAGTCTGGTTGGCTCCTAAAGCACTCATGAGGCCATTCGGGAATTGAAGGGTGTGGGTGTCGATGTGCGTGTGCGTGTATGTGTATGTGGGAAATGGGTACGGGTATGCATATGGGTGTGGGTTCGCCGTTTGGGTGTTGCTGGGATGGGATGGGTATGGGGCTGGTCGGTCTCGACTCAATTATACTTCTACATTCGCTCCCGCACTCACAAACACCCACACCCACACCCACACCCACACACCCACACCCACACACCCACACCCACACCCACACCCACACACCCACATCCACACCCACACCCACACCCACCCACACCCACACCCACACCCACACCCACACCCACACCCACACCCACACACCCACACCCACACCCACACACGCACACCCACA